GGGTACCTGTGGGCGTGGCCGGGCGGGGGAGGGGCTGCGGGGGCGGGGCAGCTCCTCCCGCATCCGCTCCAGCACCAGCTCCACGATCTGCGCCTGGTCCTCGGCCGCGCCCGGGCCCAGCAGCGGCAGCCACGAGCCCAGCACCTGCGGGGGGCACGGCCGGGCGGGGCTCAGGTGCGCCACAGGTGCCCAAAGTGTGCCCCAGGTGAGCCCCAGGTGCCCAAAGTGTGCCCCAGGTGAGCCCCAGGTGCCCGAAGTGTGCCACAGGTGAGCCCCAGGTGTGCCACAGGTGCCAAAAGTGTGCCCCAGGTGTGCCCCAGGTGCCCAAATTGTGCCCCAGGTGTGCCCCAGGTGAGCCCCAGGTGCCCGGAGTGTGCCACAGGTGAGCCCCAAGTGTGCCACAGGTGCCCGAAGTGTGCCCCAGGTGTGCCCCAGGTGCCCAAAGTGTGCCCCAGGTGCCCAAAGTGTGCCCCTGTTGAGCCCCAGGTGTCCAAAGTGTGCCCCAGGTGAGCTCCAGGTGTGCCAAGATGTCGCTGGGTGTCCCAGGTGCCCAAAGTGTGCCCCAGATGTGGCCAGATGTGCACAGCAGTCACCAGGTGTGCCCCAGATGTGTTCCAGCTGAGCCCAGATGTGCCCAGATGTACCCAGGTACGCCCACGTGGCCCCCGGCTGTCCCCAGGTGTGCACAGCAGTCCCCAGGTGTGCCCCCAGGTGTGTTCAAGCTGTGCCCAGATGTACCCAGGCATGCCCACGTGGCCCCCGGCTGTCCCCAGGTGTGCCCCCAGGTGTGCCCAGGTGAGCCCCAGCCGTGCCCAAATTTTCTCAGGGGTCCCCAGGTGTCCCCAGGTGTGCCCCCGGTGAGCCCAGGTATGCCCCAGCTACACCTGGGCGCCCTCACCTGTCCCCAGGTGTGCCCAGGTGTTCTCCAGGTGCTCCCCAGCTGTGCCCAGGTGTGCCCAGAACACCCCAGGGGTGTCCCAGCTATACCCGGGTGTACCCAGGGGTGCTCCAGGTGTACCCAGGGGTACTCCAGGTGTACCCAGCTCTGCCCCCAGCTGTGCCCAGGTGTGCCAGCTGTGCCCAGCTGTGCCCAGCTGTGCTCACCTGCACGATGTGCTCCTGCCCGTCGGGCTCCCGCAGCGCCTCCACCCCGCAGATGTCGACGCCCCCGAAGAGGCGGGCGCAGGCGTCCACCCACGCCCGGTGCCTGCGAAGGGAAGGGGCTGAGGCCACGCCCACCGACATGGCCACGCCCACCGCCAGGGCCACGCCCACCGCCAGGGCCACGCCCACCGACATGGCCACGCCCACCAACATGGCCACGCCCACCGCCAGGGCCACGCCCACCACCATGGCCACACCCACCGACATGGCCACGCCCACCGATATGGACACGCCCACCACCATGGCCACGCCCACCGACATGGTCACGCCCACCACCCTGGACACGCCCACCGCCGTGGCCACGCCCATCTCCATAGCCACGCCCATCTCCATAGCCACCCCCTCGCCGTGGCCACGCCCACCGCCCTGGCCACGCCCCTTTTCACCGGCTCCACCCTGTGCAAAAAGCCACGCCCCTTTCCAGATGGCCACGCCCACTAAAGCCCTGCCCCAACCACAAGGGGATCTCAGGGGCACGCCCCTTTTGATGGCCACGCCCCTTTTGATGGCCACGCCCCTTTCAGTGTTCAATAACCGTTTGTGGCCACGCCCCTTTGATGGCCACGCCCCTTTTAGTGTCAAATCAACGTTTGTGGTCATGCCCCCTTTGAAGGCCACGCCCTTTTCGGTGGTCACGCCTCCTTTTGATGGCCACGCCCCTTTTAGTGGCCAATCACCGTTTGTGGCCACGCCCCCTTTGATGGCCACGCCTTTTTGGTGGTCACGCCCCCTTTTGATGGCCACGCCCCTTTTGATGGCCACGCCCCTTTTGATGGCCACGCCCCTTTGACGGCCACGCCCCTTTTAGTGGCCAATCGCCGTTTGTGGCCACGCCCCCTTTGATGGCCACGCCTTTTTGGTGGTCACGCCCCCTTTTGATGGTCACGCCCCTTTGATGGCCACGCCCCTTTTAGTGGCCAATCAACGTTTGTGGTCACGCCCCCTTTTGATGGCCACGCCCCTTTTAGTGGCCAATCAACGTTTGTGGCCACGCCCCTTTGATGGCCACGCCCCTTTTTGTGGCCAATCAACGTTTGCGGTCACGCCCCTTTGGTGGCCACGCCCCTTTCCATGTAGCCCCGCCCACCCGAGCCCCTCCTGGCCCCGCCCCCTCGCACTCACCTGGGGCTGAGCGCCACCGGCTCCACCTGCGGCCCCTCCCCCGCCGCGGCCCCGCCCCCCAGAGACCACCTGGGGGGAGCCGGGGTCAGCGGGGACCCCCAACCCCCCCGGGCCCCCC